GACCAAAAGGAACCAACAAGACGGGTGTTTGGTGTTGTGGTGTTAGTTTTTTCGTTTTATATTATCTTTTTGCTACCAGCACCCAACAGCAAGATGATAGCGCATTAACTAGTGGTCAGCTTACAAGTTCATTGCTCGCACGGAAGTGGAAAATAATGATGGAAGGTCATTTTCGAAAATCGAAGGTGATTGAATAAATGCTGGAAGGAGAGGCAGAGAGGGTAGGCTCATTGGACTCAAGATTTTAAATAAATATGTCACTCACATATTCATCTACATTTGACATTGCAAGGTGCCAGCTACTGATACCACTACTACTTTTGGGTGGAACTTACTCGAGCTGTGCGGCATGGTGCATTGACATTGCTAAGACCAAAATGGCAAGATTTTCAAGATATAATAATTCAAGATAGTAATTCAAGATAATTCAACTCAAGATAGAATAAATTTAAAAAAGAAATTGAATAGCATGAAAGAAATGTATAAAGGCTTGTTTTTTAAGCAAAACGTGCAAAGTTTGCATGGTTGCGAACCCGAACAAACTTGCTGAATGCTGTCATAAGATTGTGCCACTGAACTCAGCAAGTCATGCTGCCAATATTGAAGGAAAAGAAAATAATAGTAATGTTGTAAAATGTAAATGAATCCATAACTGATGTGTGTGCAGTGTGCAGACTGTGCTGATATTGAATGCATGTGTATCTTGCATGCATGAGTCATGCAGGGATCATGTTAAAACTGGCTGTAAGTATTGTGAGTTAGTTTTGCTAAATTGTGGAGGCACCAGGTAAATTGCGGTCAAAATGTTATTGTTCACCTCAGCGCTGAAATTTCTGCACACAGAGTTTTCAGATCATGCGCCGAAATGTTCATGCAGCCCGTCCGTTTCGCTGGTCATGTTGACAGTGACAAGGATTTTTTCCCAGTCTCATGTTGAAATACAATAATAATTCACTTAGCTTGATTTTAGCTTATGTTTTTCATGCCAGTTCCTAGAATAAGGCAGCCAATATTTTCTGTCATGTGAGAAATAAAATGACAATATGCACAATTGCGGGCTGTGGCATGTTGTGATGTTTTTCCTTGTTTATTGCTGAGGTTTTTCCAGTCTCTGCTGCAAAAACGGTGGTGAATCCACCGTCGTCCGACGGTTTCGATGACGCCAATCATCGGCGAGTGTTGCTGTGATGGCCGACCTGACTGAGCGCACAGCGGCAGCCGCCGTCGCCAATAACGACAGTGAGGACACCTCCGAGTCGGACGGAGACGCCGCCGCGGACGACTTCACCGTGCTGGACGAGGTGGAGCGCTCGAGCCGACAGGCCGTGCACCGCGTGCGCTGCCCGACTGGCTGGCGCACCCGCAGCCGATTGGCGACCGGCGGCCGGCGCCGGCCAATCTGCCGGCGCTCTGCCCCGAGCTGCGCGCCCGGCTGGCCGCCGAGGGCATCGAACAGGTGTTCCTGGTGCAGGTGACGGTGCTGCCTGAGTTGCTGGCGGCCGCAGAGTCGCCGCTGCCACCGGCCGACCTCTGCGTCTCGGCGCCGGCCGGCCGCGGTAAGACGCTGCCGTTCGTGCTGCCGCTGGTGCAGGCGCCGCGCCGCGCCGGCCGCCGGGTGCGCGCGCTAGCTGTGCTACCCACACAGGCGCTGCCCGCTCAGGTGCCCGCCGTGTTCCGCCAGTACGACGCCGACACGCCGCTCTGCGTCCGGCTGCTGGGTGGAGACGAAGTGGCACGAGGGGGGGGGGCACCAACTGGTGGCGGTGGGGCCGCGCGGCCCGGTCTCCCTGGCTGATCGTGGTGAGCACTCCTGGCTGGCTGATGGATCACATACCCAGCGCCGAGGGCTTCTCGCTAGCGCACCTGCGCTACCTGGTGATCGACGAAGCCGGCCGGGTGATCGAGATGGCCGAGACGGGCTGGCTGAAAGCGGTGGAGCGGGTGGCGGCAGCCACGGCCCGCCGCCCTGCATCGCCGGCCGGCTGACGGCCGCCGCCGTCTGCGCGCCTCACCTGCCGCTGCAGAAGCTGCCGTTCCTGGCTACCCTGTCACAGAACCCGGAGGCCGGAGAAGCTGGAGCGAATGTCGCTGTTCCAGCCGCGACTGCTGGTGGCCGGCACGGCCGGCCGCCGTCGCACTGCCCGGTCAGCTCGTCGGCAGGTTCACCACGCCGGCCGAGCTGAGCGAGTCGTTCAACGTGGTGGCGCCGCAGCCGCTGAAGCCGCTGCTGATGCACAATTTGCTCCGACAGCCCGACTGGCGGCGCTCGCTCGTGTTGGTCAACTGGAACGAGGCAGCGCACCAGCTGGAGCTACCGCTGTCGGTGCTGGGCGCGCGCGAGGCCGAGTTCCCTGGGGCAGTGCCGGCGGGCCAGCGCGGCGGCGGCGCGCGCCAGCTGAAATGCTGGTGTGCTCGAGGCTATGGCGCGCGGTATTGACGTGGACGCCGTGGACGCGGTCGTGTCGTACGACATCCCGGCGCTGTTGAAGGCACACTGCGTGCGTCGGACGGCGCGCGGTAGCCGGGCCGGCCAGGCGGTCACGCTAATGTTTGAGCGGCAGCGCAGCCATTTCTAGCGGCTGATGGCGCAGGCGGGCAAGGTGGACGGCCGGGTGCGGGAGACGCCGGTGCCGCTGTACGAGCTGCGCCAGTACGAGGCGACCTACGTCAGTGGATTTCCACGCTAGCTTCTAGTTGATCGCTTTTTTCACCTTGTTTACGCTCATCGCTCATGATTTATTTACATTTTAGAAATATTACAATGAATAGGTGTTTACCTTGTCATCAGCCCAGAAAAGTTTAAGTAGGTAAGGCGTTTTTAGTTGCATAATGTATATTTGTTCATGAACACGGATTTAACGTGTCCTAACTCCCAAATGCTTCGATATTAGACCCGAGTTTTGCAAACCAGTCGAAAGGCTTAGAACGATCATTTGGTTGGGGCGTAGCCAGACGGCTCGACTGGGCGTGGAAGCCGGCGAAAAGGTGGTCACCACGCGATCATCATGTAAAGCGGTCTCCGTCGGACGATTGTGTCCGTGCGCAACGAATGATCTCGGCACACGTGGACGAGTTCGGCAGGACTCTCCACTGAGCGGTACTGGGCGCAGTCGAACGACGGTCGACGAAGCTAGCGCAGGTATTGTTACGAGCCGGACCAGTGTAGCGGGGCCGGAGCTTATATTGTTTGCTGTGTGGCGTTCCTTCGTCTTGACCGGGCCGGCAAACGGGGCCTGCATATCGGCTGAAACCACCTAGCCGGGCAGCATGACCTCCACCTCGCCGAAGTGGGGCGAACGACCGCCCTCAGCCCTGCAATGACCGCGGTGCAGTTAATCTGGGTAGGTATCTTCCTGAGGTATGACACTCGCCTTGGCACAAGGCTTTACCCATATAGGCTTTGGCGAATCCTTAGCCCTCTTGGTCCTAGAAGTAGGTATAATGCAGTGCGCGCGAAGCCGCCTCGCAGCACCGCAGTTCACTCGCTCGGCAGCGGAACTGTCCGTCCAGCTTCAGGTGGCGCCTCTGGGAACAATGTTTGCCGCTTCTTCCCCACTCTTTTGACATCTAGGAAAGAGGTGCGACTCCCGCGTCGGGAGCGGGTCCCATCTATTATAGTCCCCACCTCATAAAAGGTGGGAGTGGGGGTCCATACATTGCGTGCACGTTCGACACGATTATTTTCTACAAGGTGCAACTAAAAGCAGACAAAAAGGTTAATTGCAAGTTGAAGGTATTGTAAAAATTAAAAATAATAGGCTGACAGGAAAAAAAGATCCACTAAAACGCACGCTTCCTATCGTGACCGTCATAAATGACGTAGGTTTACAATTTGGTGGTCTTGTATTGTCAAGTTTATTATGGTCTATTTTGTGGTTACAACTCTTGAAAATATATGTTATGTTTTCCAATAATAATATTTCTCAATCTTTGTTGTATTTGCTTAAAAAAACACGCTTAACTTTATTTGAAACATGTTTTAAATAATTTATCAATCTCCTTGACCATTATCGATATTAAAATATCAGCTGACTGCCGGCGACAAATATTTCCGGCCGATGTTGGCTGGAATATTTTTGTTGGTGAAACTCGTGGCTGTGTGGCGGCTATTTTTTCGGCTGGATATTTTATTTCGGCGGCCGGCTGGTATTTTTTGGTAAAACTGGCCTCAGATCTGCTTTTGTATGGGGCCGTACCCAAATCTGCTATATTTGGGTACGATGACGTCACATGCGTACCCATTTTTAGCAGATTTCTGCTAAAAATAGCAGACTGCTAAAAATAGCAGATTTTACCATAGTTTCCCCGACTGGTATAGAGCTATAGACACCAGGGCAAAACTGAAGACATCCCAGAATTCAAATATCAAATCTTTTAACATTACAAGGACATGATACTGAATGAGCTTGAGCTGGTCGAACCCCTCCCCCCAGCTGTTTGGCCCTTGATTCATGCTTGGATTGAGGTAGGAGCTCTGAATAAAAAATGGGTGTGCTTCCAATTTTCATTGACAAGAGGAAGCCCATCCATGATCCATGGTACCCAATGTTGTACTCTTGGGTTATTGGTTGACCTCCCTGGTCAATTCATTGCTCTAAAGTTCAGGATAATAGGGACCTGCTAAAACTGTTTAAAGGAGGTACCTACTACCCTACCTAGTAATGAGGTTGTATGGTCTTGATTTCAAATTTTATATCAGTTTTGCTCATAACATAAATGAAATATTCATGTAGTTAGGTAAGGTCAGCTCAGGTCTGGTGAGGTCAACCTGTAGGCATCCCACTGACTATCCACGCTATGTATTAAAACCATCACTATTAGCTTTGCAGCATGTTGCATCACCATCAGAACTTCTCCTCAATCATTCAAATGGGTGCTAAATTTGAAATCAGCTCCAAAAACTGCTGTAGAATCTGGTAAAATTTAAAAAGAGGAGAACCAAGGTCATTGTCCTTGACTTGACCTTCACATGAGTTTGACCCTAGGGTATATAGGGCCTTGGTGGGTAGGTGGGGGGGGGGGGGGTATACCAGGTATACCAGGTATACCAGGTATAACTATAGGTGGGTATACCTGGTGGCTGGTATACCCACCTCAAAGCATGGGATAAAAATCATTTCACATGAGGGCATGTTTTTACTCACTAAAAGCCTGGAAATGTTTGAGTAAGGTATGCTGATTTATGCTGAATTGCAATTCTGGCCTGACAATTGACATGATCTGGGCTCAGATCAAAGGTCTTCTTGGATAGGGTCATGGAATTTTCAGGGCATGTCAGTGTGTGGCATTGATTAGCTTGAGAGTACATGCTGCAAGCTTCGTCATTATCAGCTGCTTTGTGCTAGATTTTTGTGTGAAAAACCATGGGGACAGACTAGTCCATCTGAACCTAAAAGTGTGAGGGTGAACTCACTATGGTACTAGGTACTTAGTGTTGTTAAGGTTTAAAATTGGAGCTAAAACGTGCTCCAGCACCTGTGAACCCCTTCCCTGCCTAAAACTGTCTGTAAAAAATGTTCACAGATAAAAGAATACTGGAGGCATCCCATCCAAGTGATGTGCAGCTAGCTTCAGCCGCAGCAGTCAAGCATGGTCCTCTTCACCAGGACTTGGCCCAGTCTTGCTCCCAGCGTCTCATGGACTCTTCCAACTTAGCCCCGCCTGTGGCTGGGTCGGAGCCGGAATGGGATGCTTTGGATGATAGCGAGGCGGCCGCTGCAGACTGGTGCAGCTCGCCCGGTCCAAAACAGGACGATGACGAATCGTGTCCCGCACACTGGGACAATGGTGGGGGCTTCCCTGCTGCTGAACCTCAGTCCGATACCACATGCCCACCAACTACAGAGCACGTCTCTGTCGGTGACTGCCCGGCGGCCGTCGAGCCCGATTCCGCTCTGCAGCTGGAGGTAGCCAGTGGCCGCCTGGGCTACGTGTGGAGTGCTGCTGCCGCCCGCCAGCTGCGCCAGCTGGGAGTCACCGGTCAGCCGGCGGGCAGCGTGGCGCGCGCCCCGCGCCAGCCGGCCCAGCTGGGTCTGCCGCTGACCCTGCTGCCAGAGGAGATGGACCTCCTGCATCGGCAAGGTAAGCAGCCAGCAGGCAACGAACGTCTCAACAAACGACTTGTGCACATGGATGTTTGTGGCCAGTGACTCTTCCTTCGGTCTTTTCTATTTCGGCTCACAATCATGGCGTTTACCGGGTCTCCTCTTTTTAGTTTACTTTCAACTCCGCTAAATTTATGCTTTACTCAACTTTACTAAAGTTCGCTGAGAAGCTGCGGTCCGTTCTGTCATCGACTGTTCTCTGTCGGCAGGGCTCGCTGAGCTGGTGCAGTACCCGGAGTTGCTGCGTCCGCGGTCCGCCGACCAGCGCCGCGCGCTGGCCCAGCGAGAGGCAGCCAGTGCGGCCGCCCAGCAGCGCCTCATGACGCTCACGCGGCACAAGCAGCTGCTGGAACGCGCCGACCAGATCGTCGAGGGCAAGTGGCGCAAGCTGGAGCGTCTGCGGGCGGCCGGGAAGCCGGCGCCGGACGTCAGCCGCGAGCAGCTGAGGTTCGAGTTCATCGAGCAGCTGCGCGCCGACGTGCGGCCGCCGCCGGTCGGCCAGTGCCACCAGCAGCTGTACTGCGGCCACCCGCTGACGCTGCGGCCCGAGCGGGTGCCGCCGCCGCCGCCGCCGACGGCCGACCCTGCCGCGCGCACACGCCGAGCGGTCTACGCCGACCTGTGGCGGCGCGGGTACTGGCTCACAGACGGACTCAAGTTCGGCGGCCACTTCCTGGCGTACGAGGGCGACCCGCTGGTTTATCACGCAGCGTTTGTGGTGCGATGTGTCCAGCGGCGGCCTCACGTGCGTGATCTGGCGGGCATGCAGCGGCTGGCGCACGGCTGCTCGAAGACGCTGCTGATCTCCTGGGTGGATGATGGGGAAGTGCGTCACGAGGCTATCAGCCGACGACGCCGGCCGCTCAGGGAGGTGATGTCAAGTAGGGCCGGTACCGGCGGCAGCGAGCCTCCTCAGGACCCATGGTGGCTAGAGGTGGACGGCAGTCGGGAGTCAAAACTGGACGGCTGTGAACAAAGTGACGCGTCAAACTCTGCTACTGTGAGCCGGGATGAAACTGAGATCACGTGAGAGAATGGTGTCACGGTAGATTGAGTGGTGTCACGATTTGTTTTTATGCTGATGTGTTTCTGTGGGGAGTGGCAATAATACCAAAGGCAAAAGTACCGCAAGTTAGTTGGGTCCACCCAGTTCCATGGTTCACCGTTCTAATCGATCAGAGTAGCGGGGTACGGCGGTGAAATCGGGAACCTGTGCGAAGGAGTGAGCATCTGTAAACGGGTGGTAGAAAAATGAACACCTTGCTAAAGTTTCGTCATTTACCGGTTCCCAGGGAAGGAAGGTGAGTTGCCAAAAAGGTGTTAACATATTGCGAGGTCAAAAGCATAGGTGAACACAAATGTTACGCGCAGTATAAAATGTATTAGAATACATTACGACAAAGTTGCAATCAGTGCAGGAACAGCGCCAGTGTCCACGCATAATAAAAAAGGTCACGGGAAAGTGGTAGGGCGCACACGCGTTACGCGGAACACTGGACGGCCAACGTAACGCTAGGAAAATACATAAACACATTGTACTCGGGCGGTCTTGCGAGATTCCAACTACAGACAAAGCTACGTTGTGCGGGGTGCCGGAACGGAAACGTGCGCCGAATGCGATATTGTATGTACAATAGGTACAGAGCTGGTCGCTGACTGCCGGAGTCGACAGACACCTGTCCACTGGGACAGAGGTCTAAAAGACCGTCCACCGGGCGCGCGCCCAGTCCACATTGTCCACACGGGGCGCACGACAGACCCGCCGCCGCGCGTCCACATAGTCCACACCATCCCCCGCAACGGTACAGTGTCACTACTCCGTAAAAAGCGTTACAAAAAGAAAACTTGGTACAATGCTGCCTTTGGCACAAATAATGACTCAAAAGGAACACAACTATCGCTCACTGTGCGGCGCCGGCTCAGTCCTGGGGCCGCGGCGGGCCCGCGCCGGTCGCCGGTAGCTGCCTCATTGGGCGGCGCCACTAGCACTGGAACTCGGAGGCGGTGATGGCGTTCAGATCCTTCATCAGACCCTCCAGGTTGGCCATCTCCTGCGTCAGCTCCTCGGTGCTGTAGGACGGCTGGGGAAAAAAAATTGGGAAAAAGGAGTTAAACAAGGCGCCCCAAAGGCAAGTAACTGAAGCGCTGTTATGTAAGCCAGTTGTAAAATCAGCGCGACGAAGCATCAAAAGGGCAAAACCCAGGAACCACGCGACTAACCCGCTGAGATGGGCTCAGTTCAAGTGGAAACCGCATACAATTATCCAGACATGACAGGATACAGCGGTACTGAAGGTGCACTTTGATACGGTCTCTCATCAATCTCACCCCAATGCTCTTACCTGAAGTGGCAGCATCTCCTCCCGACTGCACGGACCGTCGCTGGCCCGGGGCGAGCTGGCGAACGACGGTCTCTTCAGGGGGCTGCCGAGCGCGCGCGGCCCGGCCGGCAGCGGCGGCGGCGGCGCCGGCACGCCGAAGCTTTTGAGCGGGTGTGTGGGCGGCGGCACGCGCTTGCCCAGCGATCCGGAGTCGATGCTGCTGGCCGAACTAGCCGAGTAGCCGGGCGGCAGACCGGCCGGCCCGGCCGCCTCCGACGAGGAGGCCGACGTCAGGCCCAGGCCGGCGCCGTAGTGGCTCTCCGGGGCCGACGGCGCTGTACCAAACAGGGACACTGTGGTCAGAGGGGATCGAATGGCTTACTTAGGACGACAAACAAGTAATGGCGTGTGGAAACTGAGAGCAGTCACGATTATTCAAATACCAACACGCTGGGGTCCAGTTATGTCAATAAGATATCACTTCAAACCTGCAGTGATTTTGACATGAGAGCGCCTTATCTTTAAACAAAAGCAGAACACAAACGACCGGCCTTTACGCCGTCTGTACGCTCCGCCCGCTGACTGAGGAGCGGTACATGTCTGCGGTACCTGGCGGCGGCGGCGGCTCCACACCGGCCCGGGAGATGCTGAACTGGGTGCGCGGGTACACGGGACGTGTCTCCACCGTGCCGTTCGCCAGGGCCGTGGCCGAGCTACCGGCTGGAACGGGGGAAAACGCCGCTGGAGAATCACCGAGAGACAATAGCGACACACGATACGAGCGGCCAGCAAAGAGCGGCAGCCCCCTTACCCTCCCCTACTCCGGAACATAAGAAAGCGGACGCAGGGAAACTGCATGCGGGGCAACAACAAACGAAAGGCTGAAGCTGTGTGAACACAACATTTAGCGAAGTCCGGGCATTCTTTAAGCATATCCAGAACAAATGATGCATCCATTTCAAGTACCCTAGCACATACCGTCTGTTAGGAAAATGCGGCAGACTGGCAGCATCCATTACACGGATGCGCCCAATGAAGGCCAGTCACTGAGATCAGGGTCGCTATCTGACCACTAACTTTATTACCTAAGCATTAGTTTACATGCGGTGTAGCAAAAAGTGACTAATTATTGGTATTACATAAAAACAAGTCCATTTTTTTTTTTTTTAGCCAGTATTGAATGAGACGATTTCCGACAAATACTCTAGCAGACGGTGTTCCGTGGCTCCGCCGATCATACATCCCGCACCCGGCCGTACTCACGATCCGCGTTCTGCGCCACATCAATGGGCACAACGATCGGCTTTGGTTTAAAGGAGCGCCGCTGGAGCTGTGCGTTCAGCCGGTCCTCGCTGCGGGCTCTGTAAGCGTACCCTGTGCGGGGGGCGGGGCGGAGTGCGACCTGGGTCAGCTCCCCGCGACTACAGCAGGCACCGGACACTCAGATAGGCAGACAGGCGATACGTGCAGTGCGGTCCGACCGAATAGTACAGCAAAGGGCCGGTACCGAGCAGGCGGATGGTGCACAACAGCTCAGTGATAAGGGGTGCAGTGAGATGGACGGAATAGGAAGTGGATTCCGGGCAGATGAAGGGGGGAGGGGTCAGGATTGCGGGCACCTTGACCCTTATCAACGACAGCATCCTGGGCCCGTGTCGGAGGAGGACGATGCACAGAAGCTGGGACGTCGACTGTTGTGTGCAGTGTGTGCAGTCGGCTATGGTGCAAGGCAGCTAGCTGGAGGGACTAGCTGACAAGATAAAGGCGATGCAAAACAGTGCAGCGTTTTGCAAGCTGTGTGCAAATCTAACAGTCAGCGACAGCTTACCGTGATAATAGCAGGCAAACGACACCAAGCACCGGCAAGCCCGAGCCAGCCAGCGTCATTCATACCAAACACAAAAATCGGCTCAGACACAACAGCTCATCTACAACACTGCAGCGAACATCAACCATCCTCGGAGCCAGCCACAACGCTCTGGCACCGCCTACCTTTTCCTGCGCCGGGCGACTGAGCGCGCAGCAGGCGCTCCTTCCTGTCCAGTGTGGAGGAGTAGGCGCGCCCGTCGGGCTCGTAGTCGGGCGAGGGCCGCCGCAGCGAACCGCAGCTGTCCGAGCGGTGCTTGCCCAGCGGCCGCAGCTCCATCTGGTCGTGATGGATCCACAGATCGGGCGGCTTCAGGTCCGGCGTGCCGATCTCCGTCTGACTCTTCACGTAGCTGTTACTGCAAACATGCGACGGAAAATTTGAAGTGGGAGTAGGAGGTTGAGATACTGCACAATGGATGCGTATGAATTATTATCGTCTTTCCATCAATTTCTATCTTTGTCTGCATGCAGCAGGATATTTGAAGTCATTGAAGTTCATTGTTTAGGGAAGACTCCAATGATACGCAAAAATACATAATTTCACGTTATCGTTACGTCAAATTAAGCAGCCTAGTCTTCATTTCGTACGTCAAATTAAGCAGCCTAGGCTTCATTTCGTATAGATACCATCTTCAAAACATGTATCATGACTGGCATGATGTGATAAAATCTTACAACACCCCGTGCCCAGCAGAGACCAAAGCCTCCCGCTCCGGCGCCACTGCGCGTCCCTGCCCACCTCTTGTGGCCGCGCCGGTCGTTGGCCAGCCGGCCGGCCGGCTGTCGTTTACAGAGGCACACTACGGCCACTATGGTCACCACCAGGAGCAGTGTCACGGCGCAGGCGATGATGACGTACAACAGGTTGTCGCCGAGACCACCACCTTTGCGAGGGCGGCCAGAGGGGGGAGGGGGTCAGACGGATGGACGGACAGATTGACACCTCACAGTCGGATCGACGGTCAGCCGGCGGCGGTCAGACGGACAAGGTCAGACGGACGGGTCAGACGGACGGACGAACGGACGGACGAACGGACCGACGAACGTACGAACGGGAGCCACTTGGTCAGACGAACAATCAGACGGACGGACGGACGGACGGACGGTCAGCCGGCGGCGGACGGACGGACGGACGGACGGACGGGCGGACGGACGAACGGACGGAGACGGTCAAGCGACGGCGGTCAGACGGACGGATGGGCGGACGGAAGATCAAAAGGAAAGGCAGACGCAAGGACGCACACCAGACGGTCAACTGAATGCGGTCAGATCAGACGGAGGGACGAAACCCGGTCGGACGGTCGGACATTATATAGTTTGACGGACGCCAGACAGGCCCAACACAGCACGGCACCCGAAAATTCACGGCGTCTGCAGACTGCACATGAATGAAATATGAAAAAAATGTGCGATATAGAGCAAAAGACATGAAGCAGTCGGGAAAAGGGCAAAACAGATGTCTGCAGCGTAACCAACATTTATGTGACAAAAAAAAACGGAAAACGGGGTTGAAATACTCACCAGCCTTTTGTCGCGTGAGGCTGTAGCCAGGGTCTACGAAAAGCAATACCAAGGCGGTCAACAAAGCAAGGCAACAAAGCACAGGCAAACGGGAATGTGTGTAAAACAAGCAAACAGAACGAACATAGATAGGCAGAGGAAAAATTAATGTATAATGAAACATTCACATAATCTAGTAAAACTGTGGAGGTTTGAAAAAGCACACAACAAAATAACTACATGCCGACACAAATGTTCAAAACAAATTCAATAACATAAAGACAAATACCATTCCATAGAAAGCCCAGCCTGCAAACATACGAAGAGAAGCTGCGACCACTGACCAGCCACGTGACTCCCGTCTCAGTACCTGAGCTGGTGAGCAGTTTCTCTGCGCGGGAGATGGGCCCGGTGCCGGCGCCGTTGCGGGCCTGGATGCGGAACCAGTAGTGGGTGGAGGGCGTCAGGCCGGTGATGGTGGTCGTCATCCGGTCACCAACCACTGGGTGCACCCGCCACTCGCGGTCCGGCAGCGAGCGGTCCGTCGTGTACAGGATCACGTAGCCTGCCGGCCGAACG